CCCGCAGCTCGGGCATCGGCATCGGTTTCTATGGCAACAGCGAGACGAGCGACGGGGTGGCCCAGCTGAGCGCCGCGCTGCTGCGCGCCAACCACACGCTCTGCGCCCTCGACGGCCTGGTGAGCCCGCGCCCCGCGCCGCGAGGAGGGCCCCGCCCCAGGGGAGGGGTGTCCAAACTCGGAGCGGGACCCGAGGCCGGAAAGTTAGGACCCAGGGCTCAGAATTCAGACTCAGACCGTACAGCCGAACCCCCTCCCCGACTGCAAGTCAGAGCCTCACACTTGACTCCCAGGGAACCACAACCCGCATCAGGAACTCGGGGCTCAAACCCAGACCCAGCCCCGGACTTCAACTCAGAGCCCAAACCAGACAGAAACCCAACGCCAGTGACCCCGTCCCCAGGTCAGATCCAGACCTGATTCTTGGCCCAACTGCAAACTTGGGGGCCTCAGTGTTGAGACCCCAGGACCAGACCAGAGGCCTCACTTCCATCCCCAGCACTAGGATGAAAGTCGGCCTGACCTCAGACCTCACATTTCATGTCCCGTGCAGACCCTGGACCATAGAACCCAGTTGAGACCCCAGACTCAGAAAGGCAGGTGTGACCATCAGGCCTAGGACCCCAGACTGAATCATCTGGGCCCTGAATCTCTCCCTGGGGCTCAAGTCCCTGACCAGCCATAGCTCCCGATGGAGGCCAGAGAGCTCCACAAACCTACCCAATAGCCCCCTCTGTCCCTTCCTCGATCACCGACACCCTAGCCCCAGATTTCAGACACCTGCCATTCCCGCCTCCCCCCTCACCCCCTGAGAATGCCCTCCCCTGACCCCAGACCCACCCCTGCTCCCAGGTGTCAGAGACAGTGGAAAGGCTGGGCGAGGCAGTGAGGACAGAGCTGACCACTCTGGAGGAGGTGCTCACACAGCGCACAGAGCTGGTGGCTGCCACCCGGGGGGCTCGGCGGCAGGCGGAGGCCGTGGCCCAGCAGCTCCAGGGGCTGGCCTTCTGGCAGGGTGTGCCCCTGAGCCCCCTGCAGGTGGCCGAAGATGTGTCCTTTGTGGAGGAATACAGGTGGGCCACCGATCTTCTGAATTTCTCGCAGTGTGGCAGGGCTTCTGGACCTGGGTGATCATGCCCAGGGGGCAACAAGTAGGTATCTGGTGGGTGGAGACCAGGGAAGCTGCCTAACATCCTACAGTGCACAGGACGGTCCCCAGATTGAGAAACTCTGCTGTCCAGAGACAGCAAGTTATGCCCAGTCCCTTCATGTATTCATTCATTCATTCCTTGACTCTCCCATTCATTAATTCACTTTTTTAAAAATATGTTTTTATTGATTTCAGAGAGAGGAAAGGAGAGGGAGAGAGAAAGACATCAATCGGCTGCCTCCTGCACGTCCCACTGAGGGTGGAGCCTGCAGCCCAGGCATGTGCCCGGACTGGGAATCGAGCCCGTGACCTCTCAGTGCACAGGACAATGCTCAGCCAACTGAGCCATACCGGCCAGGCCATTAATTCACTCTTGCACTTGCTCCCTTCTAGACTAGCTCAGTAACTAGTTCACTCCCTCGGCGGCTACCTACCCCACGCCTGTATCCATTCAACACACACTGATTGAGCCCCTTCTGGTGGGAGAGACGGCTGCCCATAAGGTTAGGAATGTGGGCTCTGAAGCCAGACAGCCACTCCCTAACCACGTGACCTTAAGCCAGTCTCTCCAGCTCTGTACCTCAGTGTTCCCATCTGTGAAATGGGAATATGGGTAGCACCCCCTCCTCCCCTATTGGGTTGTTGAGGATCAAGTGAGTTGGCACCTGTCAAGTGCTTACAACAGCGCCTAGTATGCATTAGACAGGCGTTTGTAAAATGTCAGTTTTTATAAGAGCCATGAACGAAGCAGAGAGAGGGATTTCTGCCGCTTTCCAGAGGGGGGCCAGTAACTGAATGTCATAGGCAGTGGGTAGAAAGAGCTTCGGAGAAAATTAAGCAATGCTGAGAAGGTGACATTTGAAGGAGGGGTGGGAACAAGTTAGGCAGACACCTGAGACAGCCACCCTTCCCAGCAGCCACTACTACCAGTTATTTCTCTCGTTCATCCAAAAAGACGCCATCTGGGAGCTGGGCCCAGGTGTGGGGGCAGAGATGGAAGACTGGGTCCTGTGTTCTGTGCTCTGGGTGGAGGCAGAAGCAGGCCGAGAGGAGGATGCCCCGTGGGACATCAGACAGGCCTGGGTCCCCCTGAGTCCAGGTTCTGCGAGGTGGCCGGACCCAGGGGCCCACACGCGCTGGCCTCAGCCCCTTCCAGGTGGGCTGGGGGTGGCCCTGCAGACCACGTCAGGGTGAGGCGGGTCCACCAGCCACAGGAAATGCCTTCTGGACCCACCAACACCAGAGTGCCTGGCCCTTTCCAGTCCCCCAAACAAGGTGGCCAGTTTCCTGGAAGGAAATTGGCCTGGAGGGAGGGAGAGAGGAAGGGAGGGTGAGCTTTGCTAGCGGAGTTCACGGAGTTCACAGAGGCTCACAGCAGGTGTTCACGCTGCTTACAAGACTGGCTGCCTGCCCATAAAGGAAGTGGGAGCAAAGCTGGTGGCATGAGCTGCCAATGGGGACGCGGAGAGCAAGGCCTGAGGTCACCTCAGGCCATTGAGTAACCCAGCCCCTGCACAGCTATGTGGGGCCACTGTGAACATGGTATTTCCCCAGCACGGGCTCCGTGCCAGGCACCACTGTGGCCTCACATATGGTCTCCTCTCTAGCAGTGGATTATTATTTGCTGATACTGAATTATAAATTACATCTAAACTTCCCTTATTCAGGGTCAAGCCGATATTTAAGTGCGTCCGCATGCCTGGCCCTCTTCTAAGTGATTAGGGGCTCTCAGCCTCAGGGCAACCCTTGGAAGTAGGTGCTGTTGTTTCCCCACCCCCACCCCTACCCCGCTGCAGGCCAGGAAACTGAGGCACCGGAGGCAGCGTTACTGAGACGTAGTTACACGCAGCTAAGAAGTGGAGACCCAGGCAGTCTGCTTGTAGACACAGCGCCCTTAGGCTGTGCAGCCGGCCGCTCCACTCTGCAGGGTGGGGTGGGGGCTGGGCTCTGAGGCCAGATCACAGGTGCAGTCTGGGTATGGTCCCAGGTGCTCAGCCCTGGGACCTGGGCTCTTTATAGAAGGCGAGGGTGGCCTGCCTCCCGGTGCACCCATTTCACAGATGAGCTGGGCTCTGGCCTGGAGATCCAGTGACCAGCAGAGATGGGCTACTTGGGGGTGCCTGAGGCCTGGATTTGCTTCTTAAGCTGCACACCCATGTGCCCCCCCGCCCCCCAGGTGGCTGGCCTATGTCCTCCTGCTGCTGCTGGAGCTCCTGGTCTGCCTCTTCACACTCCTGGGCCTGGCCAAGCAGAGCAAGTGGCTGGTGGTCGTGTAAGTCTAGGCGCCCTCGCAGGCTCATGTCCAGCTCAGGGGAACAGAGCTCCATTCCACTGTGCTCTTGGGAGAGGGACCATGGCCTCCCCTGCTCACACTGGCTCCTTCCTTCATCCCACAAACCTCCATGACCTCCATGGAGTTCCCAGCCTGGGCCTGTGGCACATGGAGAGTAATCAGACCTGGAGCTGCCCAGGAGGGGCGGGCAGACCTGCAAACAGGCCGCCTTGCAGGGGGGAGCACAGGGAACCCTAGTGTGGATCCGAAGGATGGTGGTGATGGCTGGCATCCACTGAGGGCCATACAGGCTGGCTCCTTCATTTATCACAACAACCTATGAAGGAGGTCCCCCTCCCCTTGCAGGTGAGGGAACAGAAGCAGGAGGTGACCGTATCTGAGGCTCTGTGGCCATGCCACGGCGTTGGGGCTCATTCTACGTGCCCTTGCACTCCTGGAACCCTCACACCCACCCCACCAGGAGGCACTTTCCTTCCATTGAACAGAGGGGAAATTGGGGTTCAGAGTGGTTGGGCCACTTGCCCACACCCGCCCAGCCAGGAAGTGCTGGAGCTGGAGTCAGCTTGGGCCACCTGTCCCATTTGCAGGAGCACTTGCCTCCTCCCTGCCCCTGGGTGGTGGTGGTGGCTGTGCTGGTGCCAGGGTAGTCCCACACTCCCCCTGGAGTGAGAGGTCCTGCCATCCCATCCGTCCCCCCACCCTCAGGCTTGGAGATGGTAAAACATAGCCCTGGCTGGTCAGGGCCATGGTTTGCCCCCCCCCCATGCCCTTCTTGCCACCAACCCTCCAGTGCTAACCCCACAAACCCCACCCCCAGAGAGAAACCTGGGTGGAGAGGTGAATTCAGCCCTGGAGCTGTCTCCTCTCCTAGGAAGAGCAGACTGGGCAAGCTGGTGGCTACCAAGGGAGAGCTTATGAGCTTGGGGAAAGTGGGGTCCTGAGAAATTCTCAGCCAGGAAATGGGGCCGGGGATGGGCTGTAGCCGCCTCAGAGTCCCAGAGGAGATGGGGCAGAGCTGGGAGGAATCCTGCTGGCCCAGGGTCCTTCTCACCGCCCCCCACCCCCTTGGGCAGGGACCTGATATTCATTCTGACGTCAACAACCACAGGTCCATCCCCCGCTCAAGTTCTCTGCCCCTAATTCTGATCCTCCAGGTTCCAGAGGTTGGGGGTGGAGCTGTAATAGGATTTGGGGTGAGGGAAAGGAAGAGGCAAGGTGGAGAGATTCTGAATCTCAGAACCCCAAGTCCAACCCCTCCCTCACAGGATGACGGTGATGAGTCTCATTGTCCTTGTTCTGAGCTGGGGCTCCCTGGGCCTGGAGGCAGCTACCGCAGTGGTGAGTGCAGAGGGCAGGCTCCTGGGTCCCAGGGCAGGTGGGGGCCAGGGCCTTAGGTCCTGAGAGGAAGGACTTGGGGGCCAGGGTCACAAATTCTGAGGTTCGGGGCTGGTTTTCTAGGTCCTGGGCTGAAGGCCTGGATGCCTGGGTCTGAGGGAGGAGGCTGGGGGCACTGAGTCCATGGGAATGTGGCCTTGGGGCAGTTTCTGGTCTGAGCCCCCTTTCCTGCTGCCTCTCTCAGGGCCTCAGCGACTTCTGCTCCAGTCCTGACACCTACATCCTGAACCTGACCCAGGAGGAGACTGGGCTGGACTCAGGTGACCCCATTGGTCCGGTGCCCACCCTGGATGCTCAGGCCTCTCTGTACCCAGTCCTGCCTGGGGTGGGGTGGGGGGTGCCAAGCTGTCCGCCAGGCCCATCCTGTCCCTGAAACTCTCTGCACCTCCCGGGTGGGCTGGAAAAGAGGAGGGAGGGATAGAGATGCCAGGCTAGGGCCAGGGGACAGGGCCCTAGGGATGGAGGGTCTGGATCTGGCCCCTTGGAGAA